CGATCGCCTCCGCTGGCAACACACAGAGCTTATCGCAGGATCCGCCCGATAAGTTCGACCTCGCTCCCTTCATTCGCGATGGGGACGCTGCTCCGATAACATGGAGTACGAGGATGTGGAGTTCTTCCGGAAGAATCGGCGGAGAGTGATCCTGGGGACGGTGGGGAGCTTCGTCGTCGGGTTCGCCGTCGCGATCGTCGCGCTCGCGGTCGTCTTCGCGTACGTCGAGGACGTTGGCACGACCGTCGCGATCATCCTCCTGCTCGTCCTGCTCTACACCGTCTCCTACGCGCTCCTCGTCTACGCCATCTCGGTCGAGGCGGAGAAGGACAGGCGACACAGGGTGAGAGGAATCGCTTTCGTTCTGGGTTTTCGTTTCTTCGGTCGCTCGTTCGTCTCTCGGTGGAGGAGAAAATTATTCATGCAGTTTGACGGGGATCTTGAAAAGCTTCGCGTTGAAATTAAAATCAGCAAGAATGGATGAAAGTTATTGACTGCTTCTAATCGTAATTTAAAAATATTTTAAGAAAGGCGAAATTAATGAAAGCGGTGGCACTTTGACTGGGTCAAGGCCCGAGCTTTCAAGCCGGAAGTTTTTAAAAGTTTAAATTCATGAATGTTCAATTCCGATCCATCAATTCCTAGCACCTATTAATTGATCCCGGCATTAATTAATTAATTTGTCTCGTTTCAGTGTCGAGCGAGAGGCTTCGACGCGGACGCATTCGTCACCCCGAACGTCCCCTACGTATTCATATTTCCGGGAGAAAAAGTTTCCAAAAACCAATACTACACGATTTCGATGCCACGACAGGTCGAGGCGGAACAGAAATTCCACCGAGCGCTGGTTCACTCAGACGTCCTCGCGCAGGTGATCGGGAAGACCGTCCCTCACCAACGGCTCCCGAGAATGGGACAGCTGTGCGTCTTGGTCGTTGGAGTGCCTCGGCGGCAAGAACTCTTGTCCGAGGTCTGGGTCTTCCCTGCAGGTCCGATCGAGTCCGCGTCGACTTCTCAGTAGGGCAAGTTGCTATCTCTTCCAAGTGTGCGAGGATGTTCTCATGTGAACTCATGTTAACTCATGTGAACTCATGTTAACTCATGTGAACTCATGTTCACGAATGAACTTGCAATGCGGAGGATCTCTGGGCGATAAGCTCCTTATCGGTGGAAGCACATTTGGAAAATGAATGAGGCAGAATGGGCAACTGTTGCACTTAGGTACTGTGTGGGATTCCTCTAGAATGCGAGGGGTCATGGGTATGAATCCAACGTTAAGAAATTGCTATCTGAAAGAAATTGTGCATGTTGGGGGGGGGGGGAGGAATCAATTGTTATGGTTTTTCCTTTCGTTTTCTGCTGGATTTATCGAAACGTGACCGTATACGCATTTCAGGCACATGCAATGAACACATCGTATCTTTTTGGCCTTTTCTGCGCCAATTTTTTCTCTTTTTTTCCTTCATTTTTCGATTCCGCTCCATTTGAAGGTGAAATTCTTTATGTCTACGCCTGAAATATAACGACTTTTATTAAGGATTCCAAAATTTTCTCTTTCCTTTATTTGCTTTGCACTTTCTGTCCATGAACGTTTATAGTATAAACTTTTAAGAGTTTGGAATAAAATCGTATTAAGCTTTGGTGCAACTTTGCATTCAAGAATTACATCTGTTTTATTTTCAAGTTCGGCAGCATTTCGAATTACTTAATTTCGATCATCACAAACCGACGCGGAATCTCACGGACACACGAGACATGGCACATGTAAGACATGGCACATGTAAGACATGGCACATGTAAGACATGGCACATGTAAGACATGGCACATGTAAGACATGGCACATGTAAGACA